AAAGATGATATAAACGATACTTGTTATACAATAAGAATATTTTTCCACACGTTTTTCTTGTTTGATTAAATTTAATTAATAACAAATAGGGAAAGAGGAAAAAGAATAAAAATTCTTTCACTCAAATTTAGAACAAATACACGCATACGTCAAAAACACAGTTACAATATTCATGTTTTTTGTTTAAACTTTGACAATATTTATTTAATATATCGTTAAAGTACATTCTCTCCTATATTCACAGATGTACACGTGTGGGTTGTTCGAAAACTTTCCAAAACAGAAAAACCACTTTTTTTTGTCTGTCAAACTCGCGTTTATATTTTTGGGAAAGAAACATTCATTTTTTTTCGTTAAAGCTCAAAACTTTTCAATCCACCCCCGGAGTAATAATTTTCCTTTTCTTTTTTTTTTTAATTTATATATATATATATTTCAATACTAATAATTTTAAATAGAAATTTTTATAGATTGATACGCCTTAGAACGCCTACGCGTGCTGATTTTTACCTTCATTTCATTATAAAGATAAAAAAAAAACTATTTAGTATAAAATTATATAGCACATAAACACCAACACACACATATAGACATGTATATACATATAGACTGATTTTATTTTCTATTTCAAATTTCATAATAAAACAAAAACGAAAGAGAGAGGGAGAGAAAATTACAGGAGCTTACGTTGTACGTTTAAAATACATTTAGGATCCGATACTAATTATTAGATGCGTCATCAGTGCTAATTATAGGAACACGATAGTCTCTCCTGTTTATCGACCGACCAAGGTGCGCAGTATAATTTATTTATGTTACATATAAGAGAAAGAGAGAGTCTACATAACAAAAAAAAATCTACAAACACACATACACACACAAAGATCCAAACTTTTTCATAATCTTCAATAGAGAACTAATTACGAAAGGGACGCTCACAATGTAAAAATTAAGGAAAATAAAATAAAAAAAAAAAAAAAAGATAGGTACTTAATAGAAAATAATAGGAGTAGGTTATATTAAACGAACGTAGGACTGAAGAAATAGCGTGCTTTTCATTATTTCTAAATGTTTTTAATCTCTTTCATTTGGTCGTCGCGTTGAAGTAAATCGTTTAGAAAAATATAATTAAATATGAATAGAAATGCAGATACGTGTATGTATGTAATGTACGAGTGAGTGTGTGGGTATTTTTTTTTTTAAAGGTTAAGGTGTAACATTTCATTCGTGTTATCTTATACACGTAGGTGTATTATATGATAAAATTATCTGATATTAATAAAATAAATATTTTATTAAATAAATAAAGATAGAGAGAGAGAGATGTGGATATGAGGGTACAATGTATTCGTGACATTCTTTGCGAACTAAAAGTAAATAATACAATTTTATTATATAATTATATAATAATAATAATATATTATACATTATATAAAACACTATATCTTTTTTTTTTTATTATAGATACGAGAAATAAGTCATTTTGTAATTGAAATTTGTTCAAGATTTCTGACCATACACACACACGCACAATTACTCTACGAGTTTTATCACTGACAATGAATAAAAAATAATTCTATTTTAATAATAATAATTAATGTTGTCCTTATATATCTTTATAAAGTACACACGTGCGTCCATATACATAGATATATTAAAAAGAAATATTCTTTTGTTAATTTTTTGTTGCGCTAACAATATGTGCTAAAGCTGTTAGGATGATTCATGCTCGTGATCGATAGAAAAGATCTATTTCAAAGATGAAAGGATAAAGAAAAGATTTGTTTAGGGATAAAAAGAAAAACCATTTTCCTGATATACGTTTGCAAAGTAAATTTCAACGTGGATTTTTCATTCTACCTGGTATCTCTGAATCTAGCATTTACTATAGAAAGGGAGAATGCTTTTATACTATAGTGTGTAAGGCTTGACTATAGGTAGAAATTGATTTTTTCTCTCTCTTTCTCTCTTTTTTTTTTTTGCTTGAAACCTTCAATACCCCTTTTTCAACTTCGATCAATTATTGGTTTCGCCCTTGCAATCAGTGTGTGAGTTACTAACACATTGAACGTATATAAAATATATTTTAGTATATAAATACATTACCTATCAAAAGTTTGGATATCATTCTCTATATTCAAAGCAAAAAAAACAGAATATTTGAACATTATTGACTTTAAAAAAGATGCTAAAGAATTTTGTTCAAACATAATTCGACCTGCTGATATTTATAGATCATTTGTAATATTCATCAATGCATTACATTGTTATACAAAACATTCTGAAAAAATTGCAAACTTTTTCTTGGTAGTAATCATATGTGTATTATATAGAAATGTATATAGTCATTTACATTACTCTACTTATAGTATATAGAAATACGTAGTATACGTAACATATTAAATATGTTAAATGAAAAGTAGTATAATCATCATTATCATCATCATACCGATGGCTCGTTAGAAAAGTTGCATTCTATGAATGGAGTCCGAGCGGGGCCGGATCAGTTGACGCAAGCAAGGACAACTAATTATAGCAGTAGTATATCGCAGCTTTGTGTTTTCATACGTTAAAAGTATACGCTCGAATACTCACTTTGTCTTTAGGTCAAACAAACAAAATATAATTATAATGGTAATTAAATAAAAAAGAAAAAAAAACAAATTTATTACGTTTCACACTTAAGTTAGATGCAACAAAATCAAATTTTCATCGAGAAATCACATTTCGAATTAATTGATATCGTATCAAACGAAACATGACATCTCTGTAATCCCAAATTTTCTTTCAAGATCATTCATTTAATTTCAATCATTGAAGTAATTTATCATAAAATTTTGCTATAGAATAAAGATGTTAAAGAAATGATTTGTTAAACGGAAATGGACGTTCGATTTTATAATAGTTCGAATAAGATTGTACGATATCATGCAGTGTTGTTTTCATTTACGATTTCAACGGGTGATGGAAGTGGAGGAGGAGGAAGAGGACGATGAGGAGGAGGAGGGGAGGAGGAACGTTTTCGAGCTGGCGTAATCGAGGTCACGTCCTCGAGATAGGAAGTTAATCTTTGATTAAGCAAGTAGATTAAACTGCATCGTATAAATCATTTTCTTGACGTATCGATTCACACTATCGATCATGTTTACCGGCAAAGTGACGAATCTTTTTAATTGGCCATTTAAAAAAAAATATATATATATATATATATATATATATCAACGAATTAATAAAGAAATTATTTACGATTAAATAGGATTAATCCGATTTATATCGATCAACGAAGTATTTTCAAGACAATATTTTAATTCGAACTAAAAAAACGAAATCAAAATCATTCACGTTAATTTAATAAACATTTCATTTGATACTTAACACCGAATTCGGGGGGGGGGGGGTACAAAATTATGCGCGCGTTGCATTTAATAATGATTCAATAATATTTGTTCAAAGTGAAAGAAAAATTGGCAGGGTGGTATGTTACGTTTAACTTTTTCGTTACTAAAAACCTATACATATATATTTGATGAATGAAACAACAAGAGATGATGAATAGAATGAAAATGAGAATTGAATGATGATAGAAAGAAAGAAAAAAAATATAGGATTATAAAAATGAGAGTTACAAATTGAGAACAGTTTCTCATTTTTCTTATTTCTCGAAATAGATCATTCTTATAAGGAAGAAAAACATAAACCATCGTTGAATGGATAACAGAGTTTAGAGCTTATTAAAATTATAAAAAGAAAGAGCGTGGGAGAACCCCCTGGAAATGTACACTGTTGTGTCATTGTCGTAAAGAATATAAAAATGAAATAAACGACTTTACTCCCAACGCGTAATTAATTAAGGGTGAGTCAGTGTCAAGTACAATACGAGTTTTATGAATATAAAACTTTTCTTATCTCTCTCTCTCTCTCTCTCTCTCTCTCTCTCTCTCTTATTTTATTCCTAAGTCTTTTTTTGTTCCACGTTGTGCTAATAATCTTATAAAAATGATAATTAATAACATAACACATATTTATTATCCTCTATTATTAAAAGGAAACAAGATTTGAATGATACACATCTTCTCTTAAATTTAAATCCAATTTTTATAAATAGATCGTTTAAAAACGTGCATATATAAGTAGATAATATTTATTTATTTTATATAGATTACTATAAACATCAAAAAATATTATTCGATGACAAGTGAAATTTACTATTCGCATATTTAAGAGATATTTCAAATTGAACCAGTTGATTATTATTTGGAACAAATTTTTATTTGTAATTGTTATAAATAGGGTGAAATAGAAAAAAATATGTTCGTCATTATTTTCTAAGTATCAGCTACTAGTAACATTGATTATACAATTTTTTGTTTTAATTATACAATAACGATAGAATCATTTGTGAATATAATTTGTGTAGAGGTAATAATATTTATGAAAAGATAAAAGATTGTTCAAATAAGTGTTCTTGTTATATATATATATAATATATATAATATATATATAGTATAATATAAATATATATAAAACGTAAGTGATAAGCTTGTTTGAAATTTTGAATAAATTAATTTACGAGATAATAATTTTAAAACGAGTTGATATATATATATATATCATTTATTAAAAAACTTATTTGTTCATATAAGTCTATCCGTGATATCACATTTATATCTATTGTAAAAATCAAACGCGTATCATACGTGAAAAAAGGATTATTACCATTTAATAACACACTAAACAATATTAATAATAAATAAGCAACAGAGTCTACATGCCGCTATAGAAATGGAAGCTGTTTTAACTAATTAACACGATAATAAACGTAATCATTGTGCAAATATCGGCATAAAAAAAAAAACAAAAAAAACAAAAATCTGTTTGCATGAAAGTAAAAAGTTAAATATACGTAAATCTTCGATATATTTTCATGCGAAACGTTATAAATGCTTCTTTGATATGACAAATCTCAAAGATAAACGTAGTAAAGCCTTTTTTTTTTCTTGTTTTTTTTTTTTATTAATTAAAAATATTTCTCAAGATTTTCCTTCAAGCTGCTAGGATCGACGTTAGGGCCATGACGTTCGACTACTTGTCCTTTCTTGTCGACGATGAACTTTGTGAAATTCCATTTGATGAAATTACCGAAGGTACCACCCTGGTGCTTTTTCAAATATTTCCATAAAGGATGAGTGTTGTCGCCGTTGACGTCTATTTTTTCGAATAAATCAAACTTCACCTAATAAAAGTAATAAAATACGATTATTAACGTTAATACATCATATCTATAGTTTGTTTAAAAATAAATTATCTAATGAACTAAATATTAAATATTATTTTAATAGTATATGAAAAAATTGCAAAAAAGTAATAAAATAAAAATAATTTAATAATAAAGAGAAATCGGATTTACCTTTTGTCTGTCAGCGAAGCTACAAATGTCATCACTAGTACCAGGTTCTTGGCCATTAAATTGATTACATGGAAAAGCCAGGATACGTAAACCTAATAAATAATAAATAATGATTCGATAGTATAGTATTCGGAATCATTGATGATTCATTTTTAAACGACAATATGACACAATCAAAAGTTGTACTTTTGGTAAAGGTAAATCAAAAGTTTCTAAATAATTTCGAGAATCAATTCCATCCCCTTTTTGATTAACTTTTAAGATATCCACGCTCACATTTTTGTTGCCTGTTTCTTTAAATAAAAACCAAAAAAGAAAAAAAGAAAAAGAAATGAGAGTATATAAAATTGCGAGTTGATAAAACATAAAAATAAGTTTGTGAAAGGAGAGGAAGATAAAAATAAGTTTGTGAAAGAAGAGGAAGATAAAAATTTGTAAATATGCAAGTGTATGTTCAATTTAAAACGGATCGTTGCTTTTTCTCTCTCTCTCTCTCTTTCTTTCTGTTTCATAACTTGGGCTTGTCGTCGTCGTCGTTTAAACTGATTTGTGTTTTAAACTTTCGCTCACTGACCTTTGGATTCGGCGTACTCGTCGTAGAGTTCATTCAATTCCTTGTAGTTCGTCGCAGTTAGTCCGCACTTCGAAGCCACGTTTACGATCAAGCAAACATGATTTTCATACCTAATGATTTTTAAACACAATTTATATAATAAAATATTTATACAATTTAACAAATTAAAAATTCAATTATATTACATGTGATCCTACTCGTTTGTTAGATTATATTCGATTATATTAAAAAAAAAAATAAAGAACAGGATTTTCAAAACGAAACATTTAACAAAAACGAATTGTATATTTTATGATTGAATTATAAAAAAAAAAAAGAAAAAAAAGAAAAGAAAAAGAAAGAAAAAGAAAGAAAGAAAGAAAGAAAGAAAGAAAGAAGAATACTCACTTTGACAGAGGAACTTCTTCGCCTTTAATGGAAACAGCTGTAAAATCGTAAATCGATTTAGCCGATTTGTAATCCTGGTTTCCACTCATGTTTTCAACAGCTACAAAATTCAAACGAAAAGAAATAATTTAACTCGAAAGAATTAAGAAAAAATTAAATCTTTTTTTTCTTTTTTCTGAAACGTTTTTTATAGCACTACATATTTTTTTTTATGCAAGAACAAGAAATTAAATTCTGCATCGAAAGAATTGTTTGGAAAAATCAACCCTTGTTATATTAAACTCGTTTAATATAATAGTTAGTCATATTTTGAAATTTAAACAAACACGCTAACACATCTATAAGTGTATGATAGTGCGTTCTACAAAACCACACACTGGTTTTCTGAATTTTTGCGTGCACATGTGTGTGTGTGTGTGTGTGTGTGGAATTCATGGCATTTGTTATTTATGGCTTAGCAGAGGGGGTGTATGCGAGTAAATAGAAAGGAAAGAATTTATATACAAAACGTAATCGTGTTCACGGAATATTAACAAACATAAATTTCAACGTTAGAATTAGGAGGAAAATTAACGAGTTTAAATTCCTTCCATTTTTTTCCTATTATTGTTTTTCTCGTGAACTCGATTACATTTTATTTTTAATTTTCATTTTAGCTATTTTTCGATCGGATAATCCGAAAAAACAAGTAATAGTTTTTTAAATATTACGAAAGGTTATTATTTTCGGGATTAAAATGCACTCCGAACGATTATCTTCTTTTTTGTTTTCCTTGTTTATTTTCATTCATTGAAATAAAAAAAAAATGTGGGTTCGTTGAATTTACGTGCCTGTTATGGATCGAACGAGAAGTGGGAAAGCTCCTGGTAGCAATGCGAGTTTTTTTATCGCATGCATTTTCCCATTCGTGAGCGTTTAACTTGTAACGGGTGTTCCTGAAATTTGTAGTGCAAACTTTCAATCAAGAACTCATCATACTTTCTTAACTTTTTCTTTTTTTAGATTTTTTTAAAGAACTCTGATCTCCATGCGGAATGTTTTATTCCGTTCGTGCTTTTAAGCTTGAGAATGAACTTTTTAAATGAATGATTATTAATTATATATATATATATATATAAATTGATATAATAATTAATTAAAAAGAAAATTAGTGCATCGTGAAGCCGACAAAAAAAACAATTATTATTGTGATCGCTAAAAGTGTTGATTGCTGTTTAGATTTATGAAATTAAATCGTTATATTAGAAATGTATTTTTTGAGAAAAAGAAAACTTCTTTATGAAAGATTGACTCATTGGTGGCACGCCGGTCGTGTTCATACAACAGGATCTTCACATCCGCCTTTTTCAAATATCGATGTAAACCGATAAGAGATACTTTCCAAGAGATTACGCACACCTATCGCGTCACCGATATATTACATTCTTAATCACTATAATTCAATGATTTTTTCAAATACATTAGAAACAAACCTTACTCGTACGATACACCGATCATTGAGAAACGAATAATTGTGATTAATCAGCTATCAATTGTATCATAAATCTGACAACAATTCTACGATAAATCATATATTTCTTGACATAATCATATGCAATACATATATATAACAACACATACATATATGATATGCATATCTACTCTAATTTAACTGGTTTCAGATTCGACATTAACCCCAATCCCTTTTTAGGAAATCTTTTGAATTCGTTTAAAAGAAAATTTGGAATTCAAAGAAAGCTTGGGCGTTTGACGATGCTTTTCCATTAGTTTCTCTCTCTCTTTCTTCATATATACTTCTACATATGTATATATATGTATGTGTACTGCATACGTAATACATACATTTTTGAATATCATCCTTGTTTTTCATATCATAAACTGCATTCTCATATTTGAATTAGTTCGAATGATTACGTGTATTTACAACAAAAAAATGATTTCTTTTTATATTTTTAAATATATAAATAAAAGTGTTTAAAACAATAAAAGAAGAAAGTGACAATAATAAATATCGCGAAATTGATTTAATGATTATCGACTGGGATAAAATGAAAACATATTTTCTTTTTCCAACAGTCGGTAAAAAAGTTTGTTACCGACCGCGCATGATCGTAACACGTCGCATCATCTATCCGACCAACGAATGTACTAAAATATCTTTCGTTACTACGTCGAAGCCGACTTGGTTTTTCCTATTAAATTTCGTGTATTCACCTTTCTTCTCTCTTCGTAGAGATATTTAAAAATAATTAATATTGTTATTAGAAAAAAAAAGGCAGATCGTTTTTCTCACGTTGTTGACATATTATTCTTACCGAAGAAAGATCGATGTGAAAAAAATATACTAACAAGAAGTAGCACAACACTTATGGGTAAAAGATAACCACTAGCACAATCACGTCGCATTGGTTCTCTTCGTCGTACTGACAAACCGATGAGCAACTATGGTCTAATAACTGCATACGGGGTTGTGAGGGGTAGGAGGAGGGTTTAGGAACCGGGTGGGAATCCGTTAGGACGAATGCGCGCGACGATTTTCACGAGAACAGTAACGTAATCACTTCGTTCACGTACAATTATTCAAAATGGCGTTTTTTTTAATAATCAAAAATAAAAATCAATCAACGATTAAGTTTCAACAAAAACGACCAAAATAATTGTCCATAAAAATATCGAAAATGATTATTTGCGCGATTACATTAATGCGTACGCATTTATATTACTCTGATTATAGGAAGGAGAAAAATGATATAAGAGGAAGGAATGATCAACCGTCAGTAACTCACAATCAAATAGATTTCACCCAGAATATATATAAACAGTTATTATTAATATTTTCTTAGCTCTTTTTAATAAATTAATCGAAAGAAATATTAAATTCGTTTCCAGTCGATGATATTATTTTTATAATTTCTTATCTAACGTACCTATTTTAAATCATATTTTTGTTATCGCATACATTTTGATATTCTATTATCACTATTATATTATCTTTTCTTTTTTTTTTTCATCATTTTCTCGTATGAAAAATAATAGTTCTTTTCCTCGTTGTATATTACTTTCCTTTATTAATATCGCATATATCGATTTTATTATACTATTTAAAATTATTTAATTTCATCCCAAGTATTAATTTAAATAACGATTTGATTTTTTTTTTCAAATAATTTATGTACGCCTACGTAGTATATTATTCCTCCCTAGTCGAAAGAAGAAGGTAAAAGTCAAGATTACCTTCTTAAATATTTGATTTGCGAAAAAGTGATGACATATTGCAATCCAACGACATATGTTCAACGTGACACAGCAATTTTCTTTAGAATGACCAATACAATGTCAATAGGCTTAAGAATTCTCGTGTCGCATCGATGTGAAGGATTTATAGACAATTTTTTTTTATTTTATGTTATATTCATTTATTATTTTTCCTTTTATTTCTTTTTTGTTTTTCTTTTTTAATACAAATTTATTGTTGTACAAAGTGATAATAATAAAAAAATACTATTTTTCTTGGAGAATGTTAAAGTTAGAGTATACACAAAAGAATATTTGATTAGATCTCACGATTTACCCTTTAGTTTCAAGTTTCGATCGAAACTTGAAGTGTGTCTACTATTTTCAACACTAGCAGGTGTAAAGCGTGAGAAAATAAAACGTAAGAACATATTGCGAACCTTGACTCTGGTATTAAACATCAAGGATGCTCAAGTTACAAAACAATACGTTATTAAATATCAAAGAACATCACACGTCAGTTGGAAAGCGTCATTTCTTGGTCCATCGTTGAAATCTTTGATAATTGTTTAGTTCATATCATTGAAAATGTATATCTTGAAAAGTTTTGCGATTAAAAGATTTTTTTTGCGATTTCCAGTTTTGAGAAACAGGGTACTGGAATTTTTCGATACTGTCCTGTCATATTCAAATTGTATTTTTGCCGCTAAAAATAGATCCCCCATTTAATTGCTAACCAATATAATTTGTAAGCAACTTTTTAAGCTGGAATAAAAGAAATTGAAATAAAATGTAAATGTTTGTATTTTATTGTTACAGTACATTGGTCCCATGGAAGGTATTTAGACACGAATTAAATCAAGTTCATCAGATAAGTTCTGGATTGCAAGCAATGGCATTGAAATCCACGATAGATCTCACGTGCAACGATTACATTTCTAATTTCGAATTCGACGTGTTTACGAGGTAAATAACAAATTTTTATTTTACTTTGTTTACAAATAATCGCACACACTTTAATTGTTAATAAACTACATATATATTTGTTTGCTCTCTCTCTCTACCTTTCCAAACGTAAAGATTATTTCAACCATGGTCGACATTATTGCGTAATTGGAAAATATTGGCTGTGGCGCATCCCGGTTACGTTGCCTTTCTCACGTACGACGAAGTAAAAGCACGATTGCAAAAATATTGTATCGCCAAACCTGGAAGTTACGTATTTCGATTAAGTTGCACGAGATTAGGTCAATGGGCAATCGGATATGTCACATCGGACGGAGATATTCTTCAAACAATACCGCACAATAAAAGTCTTTGTCAAGCACTTTTAGACGGTTATCGGGAAGGCTTGTAAGTAAAAACAACAACAACAAAATACTATTCCGACATTATTCAATTAAATCAAAACTAAAACTGTATTTTTAATTCGAATGAACTTATGCGAATTATGATTAAACGTTATTCCAGTTATTTATTTCCCGACGGTCGTAACATTAATCCGGATTTAACGTGGGCGGTACAACCAACACCGGAAGAACACATTAAAGTTACGGCAGAACAATATGAACTGTATTGCGAAATGGGTAGTACATTCCAATTGTGTAAGATTTGTGCGGAACATGATAAGGATGTTAGGATAGAACCTTGTGGACATCTACTTTGTACACCATGTCTCACAGCTTGGCAGGTAGCAGTATTTTTTATTTTACTATATATATAAACATTTCATTTTTATATAATGAGGTATTGTCAAAGGGTTTTATTGGATTGTCCAAAAAGTTTCAGAAAATCAATTATTTTTTTACACACCTTTTTAACCTACCCTGTAATTCTGTAATCTGAACAAAAAAATACTTGACTTACCCTGCTTGTTGCGCGTAACAACAGCACAAATTTTTTGAACAAGCCAATAATGAACACTAAAACAATAGTATATAAATTATTATTATTATTATTATTATTATTATTATTATTATTATTATTATTATTATTATTATAAATTTGGTATAATCTTCTTTCCATAGGATTCGGAAGGGCAAGGTTGCCCATTTTGTCGAGCAGAAATCAAAGGTACCGAACAAATCGTAGTGGACCCATTCGATCCTCGAAGAACACATCGACCTGGAACCCTCACATCATCATCATCATCATCAAACAGTTCATCAACCCCCACGCGGGATCTCGACCCCGACACCGAGGTATCCGACTAGGAGTAGCACCTACCACCCCTTCCTTTAATTATTACATGTGCTATCTGTGTATAACAAATTATCCCAAAACATACACACAGTAAGCTTTCATTTTCAAAAGAATATGCCTGACGATGTCTTCAAACGCGCATTTTCTTATGATCTCGAATATTAAAATTAGATCTCTCGTATTTTATCGTTAGATTTTTCAACGATTAATACGAGAGGAAAGGTATTATAGTACATGGTCTCAAAAGTAATTAAGACCAGTGACCAACAATCTAATCACCTCGAAAGCCACCAAATTGTTGTGTCATGTCGAATGCTGAAAACGAAAGAAAGAAAGAAAGAGAGAAAGAAAGAAAGAAATAAATAGTTAAATATATATTTAACAAGATAAATCTAAGGGGACCAATTTTTCCAATCTTGATCAAAGTTTTTCTCGCGGGAGTCTTGTTCTTTTTTTTTTTTATTTATTTATTTATTTTGTCGCTTAAATTAATTCGTTATTAATCTTCTAAGTGATCGATCGAGAATTCATTTGCCTGATTCAATAGAAAGCAAACAAATATTATTCTGAGGAAATCATTTGTGTCGGCGGTGATCACAAAAGTGGATTCCAATTGTTCGAATATGTTTGTAACTTGCTATTCAAATTTTTAAATGATCATGAACAAATTATTTGAAAAAAAAAGTATATATGAATTATTCTTTAACCACTTTCGTAATCACTGCAACATTCATCGTCATGATCGATTACTTCGAAGCTCGTTTTTCTTCTTCTTCTTCTTCCTCTTCTTTTTTTATTTTGTTCATCTCACACACACAATTGATCATCGAGCACAGTGAATGCGATTTAGCATTTTATTTTCGCAGTGCTGCGCCGTTGTTTATCTCTGTTATTCTTTTTCTTTTTGTTTTTTTTTTCTCTACTAACAATAACGTTCGAACATTTGTACCACTTCTCAAAAAGATTATCTAAAAATCTCCTAGTTTTGTTCTCGAGTCATCCTGGACATAACCCTTAGAAGGTAGGTTCGCTTTTTTTGCATTTTATTAGGAAGCTGTACCGTTCAAGGCTTATTGTACCAATCCATTGTTCTCTCATTTCATTGCCACAACAATCAACGCGAATACTCGAGGAAAAAATTGGGAAAATTCAACAGCAACAACGACGACGACGACGACGACGACGATTTAAAATCCCTTTTTTTCTTATTGCAATTAATTTTTTCATTGCTTTCCGGAGATATTACAGCAACAGCAACAAAATCTCATTTATTCCTCCTGTTTTGACAGAACCGTATTTAAATTATTAAATGCCATAGGCGCAACATTCTTATATATAACGCTTCAAGCAAAAATTCATAAACATTTTATTTATTTATTTATTTAACGAAATAATTAATTAATTATCATATTAGTCTGCATTTATGTATCCTTGTTCATGTAAATGTAAGTGTAAGCTTTTTCCAAAAAAAAAAATGTGGTCCCATAGAAAATGAGACTGCAACCACTGTTGCGCTTAATGCACTTTATGCTAAATACGGTTCTAGTTTGTTATCCTTTGTCATTAAAGGATACTCATTTATCATTTAAGGATAGCTAATTATTCTCTCTATCCAAGAGTTTGCCAAGCCATTAAAAATCATACAAATAAACAAAAGTAATTATATTATTAAGCACTTTTTTCTGAGACGTGTAATTCGTTACATAGATACGATTAAAAAGATTTAACTAATATTTATCATCGCAATGGACTTTTGACGGAAAAGTATTGATCGATTAAAAAAAAAAAACAAAAAAATATATATATATATATATAATAATAATAATAATAATAATAATAACATTAATATTAATATTAATAATAATATTTCAGAAAAGGGAGAAAGAGAGAGAAAAAAAAAGAGAAAGAGGCATTAGGGTCACGCATTAATAATTTAACTTATTATCATATTTTAAAATAATATTTTCTCTTATATAATATAACGTACATATACATATGTACAATGTATAACACAATGAATCGATCACGATAATTGCGATTATACCTATCACAGTATTCTGTATGGTTAAGGATCGAGCTTTAAATCGATTGTTCGTTAAATTTTACGAACATTTAATAACAACATAGTGTGTGTGTGTATATATATATATACAAGGTGTTTTCATTAACCCTTTGGCTACAGCATGCTTTTGCCACGAATATCGTTTCATATAAATTCGCTCGTACATACGCATAATCGCATGGTACGACCCCCTATATGGGTCGGTCAGTCGTTCATATCGGGCCTTTGCATGGACGACCCCTATATGGATCGCTAGTAATGAAGGATTCAATGAAACACTCTGTATATATATTGATCGATGCAACATTAGAGAAAAGAATGGAAAACAATATATAACAAAATAAGAAATAGAAAATACATCATATAAAGAAGATGAGAAAATAATAGCCAATTAGTTAATGTGAAATATGTCAACGAGATTGTGTGCGTATTTGTGTAATCTGTTAGAATTTATTATACACACACATATATATACTTACACATATATCCATCCGTTGTTGGCGGTAGAAAGAGAGATTGTGTTGTAACATGGTATCGTATTTTTTAAATGCGGAAGATTTATCATTTTAAGCGAATAATTTTTATCCTCTTTAATTTAAAAAAAAAAAAAAAAAAAACTATTTATTATTTATTTCGAAAATATGGATATACAATTGTATATCCGAAGATCTTTTATACCGGTGATTTTTATTAGCACATTATATACATATATATATACAATATCGATTCAAATTCTGTAACGTATATATCAACAAATACTTTTTTATTAATGAAACGAATAATAATGATCTAACGAGAGAGAGAGAGAGAGAGATGACTTATTATTATTGAAATAATCGATAAATGAGCCACTGACTGTTTTCTTTTTTTTTTTCTTCTTTTTAATGAAATGATTTTTCAATCAATTTTTCTAATAGTACAAGACAATAATATTTAATATAATATCTAATTGTCCAAACATGTTGTTACCTAATGTGTCAACTCTTAGTTTTTAGTATTAATTGTACAACAATTAACATCGTTAGCTGTTAGGTTTCGTCATTTTATCGCGGTTCATTTTAGACTGCGTCCGCGTTCTTTTTTCATGGTTTCCTTTTTACACAAATTTCTTTTTTTTATTGGATTATAAGATATTAGGGATATTAAAAGAAAAAAAGCAAAAAAGAAAGAAAGAACAATTACTTTTCTCTCTTCTTTTTTATTTTCTTTTAAATAAATGAATGTTATCACGATTAAACAAAGAGAGTGTTCATACGTACACCTATATATCTGTACAGGGTGCTGTCAAAGAAAAAGAATTGATTGATACTTTCGAAAAAGTACGAAAATAATTTTACAGATAAACTTTTTACTGTCATGAGTCTTATTACAAATTTATTTTATGAGATTTCCTGAAGTATTAGTCAAACTTTTTTAAAAAAAAAACGAACTCGCCCTGTATATTTGTATACTGTAAGCACATATCCTTTTTTAGTTGAATTTGAATTTGTAATACACACTAAATAATTATCTACAAATTCACGAATGATCTCTCACAGTAAAAACAACAAAAAAAAAGGAAGATAAAAATTTCTCTTAAATGGAAGAAAAATAAAATGAAAAAAAGAAAAAAAAGAAATGTTTCTCGCGGAGGAATATTGTGTTACAATTTTTTTTGTTATATCGTGTGTTCGCATGAGAAAGATTTGAATATTTATTTCATAACGTTATCTACTGGGTCCATTGCTCTCTCTGCCCGCTGCATGATCGAACTAATCGGTAATGTACATACCTGAGAGAAGGAGAGATGTCACGTGTTAGAAAAAAAAAGATATTAATTAAGGTAAGTTCACAGACCATATCTCCGCATTATGGCAATCTCTCTCGCTTTTATTTAATTTTCATAATTTCTTTTTATATATATATATATTATATTCATTTTTTTCATTTTTTGTTTGTTTGTTTGTTCTTTAGCGCTTTGTAATAATATTAATAATAATTATTATGCTATACTGCCAACTTTGTAACGTTTACACGCTCTCATTTATTTCGTTTTAAGAGTCTCAAAATGATGCATTTAACAAACACTACTTCTTGGCTTTTTGGTAATAAGATGCGATTTCGAATATTTTACACTTCATATATATGTATAATATTATTATATTATATTAATATTAGATTATATTTAATAGTATATTTATTTTCTATATATATTGTTCAATTTGAGATAAAAAATTTTAATTATGAAAAATATTTGTGAACACGAATAATAATTAAAAAAAATTTATTTGGTTTGGCCCCTGTGTGTGTACCACTGCATAGTTTACACATCCATTAATACAGCCTTGATAATAAATATACTATAATAATATAATATATATATTTATATATCTTTAAGAATAAAGCGTTGGAAATTATATTAATAATATCATTATTAATTTCTCTCATGCAATGCTTTATCTTACTTAGAAAATATCAAATAATTACAACTGCGTATTTTGTGTTATTCTTACAACAAACATATGAATCACTTTATCAACGTAAAGAAAAAGAAAGAGAGAGTGAGAGAAGGATTCATGTATCAAATAATCTTGCATTTCGTTGCATTCTCTAAAGCAAAGAAAAAAAGAAATATTTTTGAATTAATTCTTAAGATACAGTGCATGATCTCTTTTTCTATTTCACGTAATTATTTATTCCTACTTGTTATCTGTATCAAATCTATCCCTGATATAATTTTATAATGTAAATATTTTCTATTAGTAATAATAATATTAATAATAATAA